TATAGGTAGTGGGGTCAAGGCAACGGAACCCTTTATAGGAGGGGCTATATCCCATAAAAATGCAAGGAATACTATAGAGGGAAATTTTATTAGGCATATAATCACGTAAACAGGGATAAACACGACAACCAAAAGGATGAAAATTTTCATTATTTGGAAGGGAAGCATATAGAAGCTCAAAAGGGGACTTACCTCTGAGAAGTGGTGTGGGCATGCAGTTGATGATGTAAGCTACAGTGCTAAAGGCGTCAACCCAGAAGTGAGGAGAAGTTTGGGAATGGAAAAGTAGAGCCAAACCGGTCTCAGTCACATGACGGTGTTTTCTTTCAGCTCGATCGTTTTATGCGGGAGTGTATGGACAAGATAGTTGATGATGAATGCCAGAGGTACGAAGGTGAGCTTTAAAGCAGTTGCTAGTAAATTCTACATCATCGTCACTTTGAAAATTTTTTATAAGAGCTGAATGTTGATTTTCCACAAATTTTTGAAATTGAATAAAGGTGTCATAGAAGTCAGATTTCAATTTCAAGGGATAAAGCCAAGTGAAGCGAGAATAATAATCAATAAACAAAATATTGTAGACAAAACCCAAATTGGATTTTACAGGTGAAGGACCCCATATATCGCAATGAATAAGATCTAACACATTAGACGACCTATGTTCATTACGAGAATAAGCCAAACGATGATTTTTTGCAAGTTGGCATGTTCACATAACGTAGCAGATGGCAATAAGGAGGTAAGATAAAGTTGTTCTTTTTTATTTAATAAAGAAATAACATAATGATTCACATGTCCAAGGCAAGCATGCCATAAATCATACGAAGCATGAAGAGATTTATTTTTAAGGACAAAAATAAAAGCAGAATTTCCACGCTCTAGCACATATAAGCCTCTATCACGTTTACCGATTGCCACTACCTTTCCTATTTGGTGATTATGAGCAATAAAAAAATTATTAATGTAACGGATAAAGGAAAATCATTCGTTAATTTACTAATGGACAAAAAATTTTTAGTGAGGTGAGGGACAACCAAAACATCTAACAATTGAAGATCTAGGGAAGGGGAATGTTTACCAGTGTGGGTAATAGGTAGGGATGTACCATTCCCTACAATCACACAATCCTTACCAGTGTAGGTGGTGGAGTGATCCAAAGTGGAATGGGCTGGAGTCATGTGGGCCGAAGCCCCTATGTCCAAGAACCAGTCGGATGCTTCATATCCAGCTAGAGAGCACGAAGAGGTGAAAGCTTCTGCAAGTTGCGTCGTGGGTTCATGCCAAATTGCCAATCATAGCACTGCCTGCACCGATCTGCAAAGTCTCCTTCCAGGCGGCAAATTTGGCAGCGTGGTGGACGGCGACCTTGGTTGGTGTTGGCACGACCCTGTCCATGACTAGGAGAGTCGTTGCTAGAGCCATTTCCTCGGCCATGTTTTTGGCGAGAAAAGCCACCCCCACGATGATAAGAGGTCCGGTTAGCGGTGAACGCTGTAGCTGAGGGCGCCGGAGTCTCTAGAGATTTTTGAAAAATTTCAAAACTTTTAGCTTTAGACACAAGGTCGGAGAAGCAGGGGAAGGGGGTTTGTGCCATTTGGGTAGTAGAGAAACTAGAGAAATCGAGCCCGAGACCATGAAGAAACCAGTGGACTTTGTCTATTCCATCAACTGGGTGACCGATTCTATGAAGCTGATCAGACAAGGCCTTGAAGGCACGGGCATAGGTAGTGACTGGACGGGTGCCACGCTTCATCAATTGGAGGTCATCTTTGAGGTGTATTTCATGGGCTTTGGAGCAGTGGTTGAAGGTATTTTCGAGAGTGGTCCAGACCTCATGGGATGTGGAGAGGTTGACAGCTTTAGCCATGGCTTCCTCTATGAGAGAGGAGAAGGCTTAGTAGGCGTTGATCGGTGGCTTTCCATGATAGGTGTTTGGCATTTGGTGTCTGAGAGGTGGGGGGATCAAATGGAGGTGGCGGCATAAGGGTACCAACCACATGACCCAGTAGAACTTGGCTTTTGAGAAATGGAAGAAGTTGGCTCTTCCATAAGAGGTAGTTGGAGGAGGAGAGTTTGATGGTAACCATGTGAATCATGGTGTTGAAGGGAAGAAGGGTGGGAGAGGAATCGGAAGAGGAATCAGAGGCCATTGAGGATCGTGGGATGCTAATCCATGTATACTCTTGATACCATGAGAATGTTAGGAAAAACCACCACACTTTGAGTGGTGAGAGTTTTGCATATATATATATTCATTTACAGAGTGTATAACCTAATTACACATAAATGTTGATTACAAAATAAATGGAAAGAATTAGCTAAACAAGCTCCTATAATTGACGGTCAAAGGTTGCACATATGGAAGGCCGTAGATTAGGGCAGAGGATCCTTCACGCATGCCTATATTTCTTCTTTCACTAGGGACAATCATACGGATGTGCCACACAAATATGTGCAAAGCAATCACCATTAGTTTATATTACTTCTCTATTTTGTCAAAATATGATACTTCTATTACTTCTCATGCCAAATGGAATTTAATTTCCTTATTTTCGTAAATTGAAACACTTTCCCATTAAATTATAGTTCTCTATTACTTCAAAGACTTCATACAATATTCTTGATCTCTTAAATCGATCTTATTGTCAAATATCAATATGACCAAACATGCAAACAAGAGATAAAACCCGAAACAATCCTTTTATCGACCAATAAAGATTGGCTCATAACCCAATCTTAGGAACTTTTCCTCACAATTTTTATGTGGCAGTTCGCAATTGGTCACGCAGGAAAATTCATCATAAACCAATTGCAACTGCCATGTCTGAATTATAATATTAAGTTGTAAATGTAGTATTGTCATTTATCGATATATCTACCTCTGCATGCATTGGGCTCGATCTACACTTCGATAATGTCGCTCCATTTGCCAATTAGTGGAGCGATCTCCTAAAGTCGTTAGCTATGCATTGATCTCATCCAACTACTTGTCAATAAATCAAAGGATATACCATTTAACAAGCTACAACATAGTTCAGTCGTAAGCCTAAACGCAAGCAATGCAAACACGTGATTGAATTTGCTGATACGTGATAATACATATCATTACTTATTGAACAACATCAGTACGTCCATAAAGTGAGAAAACAAATCTGCATTTATAAGTTTGTACTCCTTACTTAAATGACAATAAAATTGCTCTAATGCATCATGAGTCGGCAGCGGTTGGATAGCAAGGCTTTGACCTAATTAATTCATGGCACACATAATCAAATTATATATTAATTTACTATTGCAGAAAACCAATAAAATTTTGCCACCTCATATATAATATTATAACTATTATTATTTTATTTATTTTTTAGTTGGATATACCAATAAACTCTGCTCAGGATTTCCAGAAATTAACAATATACTGCACTCTCACATAAGAATAATTTAAATTAATTCTGATTTATATTAGTTTACTGTGTATTGATGATATTTCTCTTATCATTACCCCAAACTCCTCAATAATTGGTATTTTTGTATTAAATGGGAGCGCACGAATTCCTAAAACTTAATTAAGAGTGTGGAGAATGATTGATGAATGATGAATAGACCAATAGCCACGTCAACTGTTAGGTGCCGATGCCTCAACAGTTGAGATAATATTGTCATATCGCTATGCTCATAGCCATATATATTCCAAAGGAATAAGACAAATTTTACAAAGAGACATATAAACAATCATACAAAAAGGTAATCTTTATCCTTAAAATTTATGATTATCTTTTTCTCTCTTTCTTTTTTCCTTCTTTTAAGGTATGAATTATCTCTTTATATAACTTTTTGTATACCTCTTTATAAGAATAATGTTACTCATTCTGAATTAATTTCCCACAACACCAATCGAGCCACATTGATTCCAGTGGGGCACTCGATACGAAAATTTTCTCACATTCTCCTAAGTTTTGTTTGTTACTTTAAACTCCCAATATTCTTTTGCACATCTTTCAACCCCCTTCTATTTAACTTTTCATTTTAGTGTTTCTCAAGTTCCAAATAAATTTTCTTTTTAACCATTGGATGGTCGAATATTCAACTAAGACTATTAGATATATTACTTAAAAAGTCTTGAGTTCGATTCACTTCGATTGTTATTAGGGATGGCCACTGGAGGTTTATCCGGTATTTAATTTTAGGGTCTCAAGAGATTAATTGAACTGCATATGAGTTGCTCGAACGCCCAAAAACTCCAAATAAATTTCTAACTTCAATCTTTTTCTTTCCCCACACAAACAAAATAAAACTTACCATGTTTGCATTTGTTTAATATATAAAACTAATTTCTTTTTTTAATATAAAAATAATTAAAAGCTCTACCTAAAATACATTTGTTATAATATTTACTATAAAATGTTTAAAGTTTTTTATATTCAAGAATTAAGAAAAGAAAAAAAAATCTATCAAATATTTCCTTATGTGAAATTTAACAATAAAAATTGAAAAAATTCATTGAACAAAAACATTCTTGAATTAATAATTTTTTTAATTTATTACTTCTTTTGTTTCTTTATAAATATCATTTTAAAAATATTAATTTTTTTCAAAATAAATAACGCTGTCTTTTCCCTTTCATTATTTCTTTGACCCACATCTCCATTCCCTATTTTGGCCGTCATCTCATCTCCCCACTTTTTTCTATAACCCACGTCTCTTCTCTCTCTCTCTCTCTTTTATCTGTCTTTTCCATCGCCCACATCTCCTGCCCCTCATCTTCTCTCTTCACTTTTTTTGTTGCTCACATCTTCTCTCTCTCTTTTAATATTTCACACATGTATGCAGCAGAAAAAACAAAATTTCCCACCCGTAACATCAAAGAAAAAAGTTAATTTGAGGATGAATAAAATTGATTTATTCAAAACTATGCAGAAACTTAAATCGACAGTTATGAAACAGTGAAATATTATTTAATTAAGTTGCCCTACCCAAACTAAACTCTGACTACTGCCCTCACATCTCCCTCCAATTTGCTTTAATTCTTGTATTTTTTTTATTTTTTTTTTCATGAATATTTAGTTAATTTATTCACACGCCAATCCATATGCAGTGTGAACCTCAACGCTTCCCATATTCAATCAACGAAAACTTTCTTTCCAAACACCACTCCATTTTCTCGTCACTGTCCTTCAAGAAATTGACCAAAATGGCTCTACAACCCATCAACCAAGCTAACGAAAACAGCCCATATGGAGATCTCACCAGAGAACAATTTCTCAAAAAGCATCAAATCCTCCACCAAGAATCCTACATGTTTAACAAAAAGAACATGAAAATTTTCACTCAAACATGGCGCCCCGATTCCCCCGGACCTCTCAAAGGCCGCGTCGCCATGATCCACGGCTACACCAGCGACAGCAGCTGGGTATCCGAGCTCACTGCCGTCGCCATAGCCAAAACCGGATTCCTCGTCTGTGCTCTCGACCTCCAAGGCCACGGCTTCTCCGACGGCTACCCCGGCCACATCCCAAACACCGAACATATAGTTCAAGATTGCATCCAATATTTCGACTCTGTTAAAACAAACCACCCAAAGTTGCCGTCATTTCTCCACGGCGAATCCCTCGGTGGTGCAATATCAATTCTGATCTGTTTAGAACAAAAATACGAATGGGACGGTTTGATTTTGAGCGGTTCAATGTGTGGAGTTTCAGCCAAATTTAAGCCAATGTGGCCATTGGAGAAGCTACTTCCAGTGGCGGCGCTGTTTGCGCCGAAATGGAAAGTGGTGGTGTCGAAGCCGGTGGCGAGCAAGTCGTACAAGGAGGAATGGAAGAGGAGATTGGTGGCAAGGAACCCGAATCGGCGGACTTCGGGGAAGCCGCCAGCGGCGACGGCGTTGGAGTTCTTGAGGGTGTGTGAGTATATAAAGAGGCATTGCCATGAACTGGAGGTGCCATTGCTGATGTTGCATGGGGAGAACGATGCGATATGTGATCATGAATCGGCGAGGCTTGTGTACGAATCGGCGGCGAGTGAGGATAAAACATTGAAGATTTTTCCGGGATTATGGCATATGTTGATTGGGGAAAATGAGGAAGATGTTGAGGTTGTTTTTGGGATTGCGCTGTCGTGGATTGCAGAAAGGGCAGGTAAAGCTAAAGCTAAAGCTAAATCAAATATAAATTAATTAAAAATAATTCTATTGAATTACCTTAATTAATTAGTCCTCTTTCTTGTATGATCTTATTTTCCTTAATTTTATCTTTTAAAATGTGTTGTCTTGGTGGAATACAGACCAAGTTAATATGCTATATTCTGATGGAGAATAGTGGTAATTCTATTACAAATTCAAGTTTTATTTAGATTAATATTAGATTATGGAGATGAAAGTATTCTATTTTGGTTTTCAATATCATATGCAGATTTCAAACATTTCAAGCAATCCAACTTCATCTACTACACTTAATTTGATAACCTCAAATAATTCTCCGGGATTTTAGATCTATAGGCCGAGTAAGAACTTCAGTGGTTACCTTTGTTGGCACCCAAGAAGAGATTTGAACTCATGACCTCTTGATAATACACTAAAGAGTTTCCATCAAATCACCCGATCACCCAGAAATAATTCATGCATGAATATTCAATTCATTTATATTTTAATATGCACTTTCCTAGTAGATTTTTACTAGTTTTAGGAATATGAGTTTGATTTGATGAATAATTTTGTGTGGGAGGTAATAGAATATTTGTGTAACTTGTGATGAATTAGAAGCATGTTTAATTTTTTGCGTAAATTTCATTTTTTTTTTTCTTTTTGTTTTCAGTGACCGTCATGGTTTAGATAGATTGTTGAGACATTTGAGACTTTCATAATTTCTCAAAGACGAATGAAATTATGATATTTCTTCATCCAAACATGCTTCTAACATACTATATAAACGAAAAAAATTCTCACTTTTTAATTTAACAAACATACTAACAAAATTAATGTATCAATTCATACATATAATTTGCTTGTATGAGAATAATTTGTTTTAATAGTATAAAGATTTTTATTATTTCAGAAACTTTAAGAGAATTATTACTATTTGTTATGCCTAAAAGGTTAGGACTGATGTGGACTCTCGTTAGTAAAAGCCAATCAGGATTCAGGAAGGTTTTGTGCCGTCTAGGCGCTGCCACGACGTGCAGTGACATGACAGGTATGGTTCTTGTCAACGTAGCAGATGAATGTCAGGCTTGCAAGTGGCCAAGGGTTATTCACATGCCAAACCCTACGTAATTTGAGGGTATTTCTCGTGCAGATAACCAATGGAATGCAAGGAAAGACTTGTATGACACCTACCTATTTGCAAACTCGTAATCATTGCCTTGAACTTTCCCACTATAAATAGAGGATACCCCTCTCATTTACTGGATTGGTTGATCTTAGTTTAAAACAGCTTACACATATTCTCTCTAGATTATAACTCAACTCGCAACACGCGACCTAACTGTACCCATCTATTATGCAATAACAGTGGACGTAGGATTCGTTTTTTAGCATCTGAACCACTTTAAAAATCGCTTCCCATTTATTCTCTCATTTTATATTTTCCTATCACATGTATTTTCTAAGTCTGCTTAGCAGTTTGCATCTGCAAGTCATTGGTATCAAAATTAAACATCAACAGTTTGGCGCTAGAATGAGGGTCTAATTTAGTATTTACTCTTCATCAGAAACCTCTGACTAATCGGTTCTACCAATCAGCGAATGGCTCACGGTTTTGAACCTGAGCAAACCGACCTTGACAATGAGGAAATCCCCTAGATACAGGATGACACTTCTCCCAAAGTATCGCTAGTCCAACATAGTATCATGACGGATATTCATTCAAGCTCATGGCTCGACCCAGCTGTAATGAGTTACCTAGAGAGGTTCAATAATACTCTCTAAACGGTTAGCCAAAAGTTGGACTATTTGGATCGGTCGTGCCACCAGAATCTAATGAAGTGGTGCCACTGCCAAAAATGGTGAAAGTCCATACCGTGTGCACTACAGAGCGCCAAAAAATGGGAAAACAAGTGGCGAACACTGGCCACACAATGGATAGAATACCCGTGGCACTACGACTAGGCGACATGTCACAACATAAGCTGTCACACGCCACATCGCATGGGCACTCTCACAAAAGTGCAAGGCGGGGAGATTTTAATCTAGATAAATATAATTAATAAAAGGAATTTTAAATAATAAGATAAATTAAAAAAATTTGTGAGATAAATCATATTTATAAAATATGATTAAATAAAAAAGGGGTTTTTTCATTAAAAAGAATTAATAAATCTTAAAATTATAAGATAAGTGATGTAAACATTTATCTTGGGTTTTAATAAATATTTAAACAAAAGAATATAATCGAAATTACATTTTTGCCCCAAATAGAGGCTTTTAAAGGGATTTTTAGTAATTTTAAGAAAATAAAAAATAATTAGAGTGAATTTAAAGCTGGAGCTTTTTTTTTTCTTTTTTCTGTATTTGAGAAAGTATACAATCATCAAAAACGACTTTGTTTAAAAGTTCAACTTAAAAGTCAACATATTGTCAAAACGAGGGTATTTTCGCAATTTCGGTTTTGTGAAAAAAAAACATGTAATTTCATGTCTAAATACTGGATATTGATGTAATTACACACAATTCTATTTTGGGAGGTTTTTTATAATTTAGAACATAATTTGGAGTTGGGCCTTAAATAATTTTCGTAGCTTATTAAAACTAAGGTACCCAATTAGAATGCTCCCAAGAGGACCTAATTAAAAGAAGTACTTCCGCCCTAATAAGCCTTATTGAATCCCCAATCCTACCACAAGATAACCCATCAAAATGCCCTATTAAACGACTTGGGCCCGTTGGTCTGCCGAACAAGGCTAAGAATACATACCTTGGTACGAGGCCCAATATACCTTTTTTCTGTTAAATTTTTCCTTGATCACCTCAAATATTTCTTAAACATACTTGCTTTTTCATTATCAGTTTTGCAAAAAATACAATAAAGACCACCAACATTTTGGTGACTCCACTATGGAGCCAACAAAGGTCTTGACATGGCTAAGAAATCGAGGAAGGCTAAGGGCAACTAAATTCAAGGTTTATTCAAAATGGTGCCAATAAAATCTGAATCACCTTAAGTATCATGCTAGGAGTTTGGCTAATCAAAAGGTGAGATGTTCCTTTTCATTTCCTTGTTAAAATTTTTATATTCTTATTGTTTTCTCACAGTGTATATGCATATATTATCAAGTATAAGGTCTAATTTTATTAAAGACTTTTATTTTAACATTATCAAAATTTGTTGTATGATCTTCACACCTATTTTATTTTTATAGGAGATCTATACGATAAAAAACCTATCGTGGCATCACAAAATTCATGAAATAGATATACTTCTCAACTTTAGCACTTGGGAGTTTGACAATGTTCATGGATTCGAATGAATGCATTACCCAGTTATTAACATTTGGGGGTTTCGCCCAATTTGTTTGATTATATTCGAAAAAAGAATCTCTTTCACATCATAAGCCTACAAACAATGCAATCGCTAAAGTGGTTTTCTTGCCATACAAATAAGTTTTAATGATGTGATTTATTTTACCAAAACATAGTTTCTATTGTATGCTATGATTTGAAAAATGATATCTATACAGCGTTCAATATTATCTATGTTGTGCTTGTACATTAGATGTTGCATCAATTGAATTGAGATGTGATCATGCTCTTTAAAGTTGTTATGGCTTATAATAAGTCCATACATTGGGCATTATCACAAAGAGATAACATTAGCAATACTCATCAGCATATATCTATGTCACATTTAAAGTTGGGATCTATTGTTCCTACAACGTAATTTGTGAATCCCTCTATTTCATGCATACCGTTACTATGTTGAAATACATCTATGATTTTCTCATTATTAAAATCCAATTGGATGTATCTACATATTATGCTCCATGCCTATATTTTTTCTTTCATACTTACTATACGGATGTGTCACACAAATATGTGCAAAGCAATCATCATTAGTTTATGTTACTTCTCTATTTTGTCAAAATATGATACTTCTATGCCAGATTGAATTTAATTTCCTTGTTTTCGTAAATTGAAACACTTTCGCATTAAATTATCGTTCTCTATTACTTCAAAGACTTCATACAATATTCTTGATCTTTTAAATCGGTCTTGTTGTCAAATATTAATATGACCAAACATGCAAACAAGAGATAAAACTTGAAACAACCCTTTTATCAACCAATAAAGATTGACTCACAACCCAATTTTAGAAACTTTCTTTCACAACCTTTACGTGGCAGCTCGTAATTGATCAGACGGGAAAATTCATCATAAACCAATTGCAACTATCACGTCTGAGTTGTGAAATAAAGTTTGTGAGATTCGGTTGTAAATGTAGTATTATCATTTATCGATATATCTACCTCTGCATGTATTGGGCTTGATCTACACTTCGATAATGTCGCTCATTTCCAATTAGTGGAGCAATCTCCTAAAGTCGTTAGCTATGCCTTGATTTCATCCAACTCTTTGTCAATAAATCAATTAATTCAGAGCATAAGGATATACCATTTAACAAGCTACAACAAAGTTCAGTCGTAAGCCAAAACGCAAGCAACACAAACACGTGATTGAATTTGCTAATACGTGATAATAAATATCATTACGTTATTTAACAACATTAATATGTTAACAAAGTGAGATGACACAGTGAAACTGTTTAATGACCTAATGAGACCTATTATTAATTTTCAAAACTCTCTCTCAATATATAATTATAATTGTAATAATGAATAGATAAAAGAGAAAATTTTATTAATACGTGACAATACATAGTATTACATCACAGAACAACATCATCCCGTCCATTAAGTGAGACGACAAATCTGTATTTATAAGTCTGTTCTCCTTACTTAAATGACAAGTCGATTGGTTATAACAGAGCAATAAATTTTGCTTTAATACATCATGAGTCGGCAGCAGTTGGGTAGCAAGGCTTTGACCTAATTAATTCATGGCACACATAATCAAATTATATATTAATTTTCTATTGCAGAAAACCAATAAGTTTTTGCCAACTCATATATAATATGATAACGGGCATGTCCACGTAGGTGTCTTTGGATGGTGTGGTATCGAGAGATTTAAGATGCAATCTTCTCCAGCTCTTTTCATATTGCTTGATTTTGATTCTTGCCTTCTTGGGGGTGATACAGACAGTTTGAGAAAGACAAGGGTCAAGTGGGGTGGTGATACTCAATTAAATTTATTTAAATCAGGGCTTATCTTATAGTCCTTCATTTAGAAAGCTCCTTTCGTCCCTGCCGAATTTTCCTTTTTTGATGTAAACTATAAGCATATATATTCTTGTAAATTACACATACCAAGAAGCTCAGGATTTCCAGAAATTAACAATATACTGCACTCTCACATAAGAATAATTTAAATTAATTCTGATTTATATCAGTTTACTGTGTATTGATGATATTTCTCTTATCATTAGCCCAAACTCCTCAATAATTGGTATTTTTGTATTAAATGGGAGGGCACGAATTCCTAAAACTTAATTAAAAGAGTGAAGAATGGTTGATGAATGATGAATAGACCAATAAACACATCAATTGTTAGGTGCCGACGCCTCAACAGTTGAGATAATATTGTCATATCGCTATGCTCATAGCCATATGTATTCCGAATTAATTACCCCACAGTACCAATGGAGCCACATTGAGTCCAGTGAGGCATAAGCCCCCACTCGATAAGAAAAATTTCTCAAATTCTCCTAAGTTTTGTTTGTTGACATTAACACATTGTTGCTTTAACACCCAATATTCTTGCACATCTTTCAACCCCCTTCAAATTAACTCTTCATTTTAGTGTTTCTCAAGTTCCAAATAAATTTTCTTTTTAACCACCACTAGATGGTTGAGAATTCAACTATGACTATTAGGTGTATTACTTAGGAGGTCTTGAATTCGATTCACTTTGATTGCTATTAGAGATGGTCACTGGAGGTTTATCCGATCGTTAATTTTATGGTCTTAAGGGATTAGTTGAACTGCATGTAAGTTAGCCCAAACATCCTCGATAAAAAAAAAAAATTACAAATAAATTTCTAACTTCAATCTTTTTCTTTCCCCACACAAACAAAATAAAACTTACCATGTATGCATTTGTTTAATATATAAAACTAATTTCTTTTTTTTTTTAATATAAAAATAATTGAAAGCTCAACCTAAAATACATTTGTTATAATATTTTCTATAAAATGTTTAAAGTTTTTTATATTCAAAAATTAAGAAAAGAAAAGAAAAAACCTATCAAATATTTCCTTATGTGAAATTTAACAATGAAAATTAAAAAAAATTCATTGAACAAAAACATTTTTGAATTAATAATTTTTTTAATTTATTATTATTTAATTAAGTTGCCCCCACATCTCCCTCCAATTTGCTTTAATTCTTGTATTTTTATTTAGTGTTTTTGTTTTCTGTGCCTCATGAATATTTAATTAATTTACTCTTATTCACACGCCTATATATATGCAGTGTGAACCTCAACGCTTCCCATATTCAATCGACAAAAACTTTCTTTCCAAACACCACTCCATTTTCTCGTCACTGTCCATCAAGAAATTGACCAAAATGGCTCTTCATCCCATCAACCAAGCTAACGAAAACAGCCCATATGGAGATCTCACCAGAGAACAATTTCTCAAAAAGCATCAAATCCTCCACCAAGAATCCTACATGTTTAACAAAAAGAACATGAAAATTTTCACTCAAACATGGCGCCCCGATTCCCCCGGACCTCTCAAAGGCCGCGTCGCCATGATCCACGGCTACACCAGCGACGGCAGCTGGGTATCCGAGCTCACTGCCGTCGCCATCGCCAAAACCGGATTCCTCGTCTGTGCTCTCGACCTCCAAGGCCACGGCTCCTCCGACGGCTACCCCGGCCACATCCCAAACATCGAACATATAGTTCAAGATTGCATCCAATTTTTCGACTCTGTTAAAACAAACCACCCAAAGTTGCCGTCATTTCTCTACGGCGAATCCCTCGGCGGTGCAATATCAATTCTGATATGTTTAGAACAAAAATACGAATGGGATGGTTTGATTTTGAGCGGTTCAATGTGTGGAGTTTCAGCCAAATTTAAGCCAATGTGGCCATTGGAGAAGCTACTTCCAGTGGCGGCGCTGTTTGCGCCGAAATGGAAAGTGGTGCTGTCGAAGCCGGTGGCGAGCAAGTCGTACAAGGAGGAGTGGAAGAGGAGATTGGTGGCAAGGAACCCGAATAGGCGGACGTCGGGGAAGCCTCCGGCGGCGACGGCGTTGGAGTTCTTGAGGGTGTGTGAGTATATAAAGAGGCATTGCCATGAACTGGAGGTGCCATTGCTGATGTTGCATGGGGAGAACGATGCGTTATGTGATTATGAATCGGCAAGGCTTGTGTACGAATCGGCGGAGAGTGAGGATAAAACATTGAAGATTTTTCCGGGATTATGGCATATGTTGATTGGGGAAAATGAGGAAGATGTTGAGGTTGTTTTTGGGATTGTGTTGTCGTGGATTGCAGAAAGGGCGGGTAAAGCTAAAGCTAAATCAAATATAAATTAATTAAAAATAATACTATTGAATTACCTTAATTAATTAGTCCTCTTTCTTGTATGATCTTATTTTCCTTAATTTTATCTTTTAAAATGTGTTGTCTTGGTGGAATACAGACCAAGTTAATATGTTATATTATGATGGAGAATAGTAGTAATTCTATTACAAATTCAAGTTTTATTTAGATTAATATTAGATTATGGAGAGGAAAGTATTCTATTTTGGTTTTCAATATCATATGCAGATTTCAAAACATTTCAAGCAATCCAACTCCATCCACTACACTTAATTTGATAAACCTCAACTAATTCTTCAGGATTCTAGAACTATTGGCCGAGTAAGAACTCTAATGACTACATTTATTAGCATCCAAGAAGAGACTTGAACTTATAACCTCTTGATAATACACTCAAGAATCTCAATCAAACCATCCGACCACCCATAAATAATTCATGCATGAATATTCAATTCATTTATATTTTAATGTGCACTTTCCTAGTAGATTTATACTGAGTTTTAGGAATATGAGATTGATTTGATGAATAATTTTGTGTGGAAGGTAATAGAATATTTGTGTAACTTGTGATGAATTAGAAGCATATTTAATTTTTCGCGTAAATTTCATTTTTGTTCTTTTTGTTTTCAGTAACCGTCATGATTTCGAAATATTGTTGAGACATTTGAGACATTCATAATTTCTCAAAGAGGAATGAAGTTATGATATTTCTTCATCCAAAACATGCTTCTAACATACTATATAAACGAACAAAATTCTCACTTTTTAATTTAACAAACTTACTAACAAAATTAATGTATCAATTCATACATATAATTTGCTTATATGAGAATAATTTGTATTATTTTGTAAATACGTTCAATGATTTCCCTTGAGATTTTCTTGAATAATTCCTCTTTCACGTATTTGAAACAACAATTTAATCTTTATTGTAAATTTATTATCCATTAATTAACGAAATATAGAAAATAAGTATTTTTCAAATAGCTGAGTGGGGAAATTGTATTCAAAGAAACCATATCTTAATTTAATATAGGGCATTAGCTTGTTTTAATTTTTGTTGAGTTGTTTAGATGGGGTGAGGTGACGTTGCGATATGAAAATGACATTTTCAAAGAATGAAATGCTTAAAATTAATAATCCTTTTGTACTTTATTATTTCTGTATGGCTGGGAAAGCCGGCTTTAGCTCCCACTTAATTAATGAAGTTGATTTGAAATTTGAACACTCAATTCAAAGGCATAATCTATTTATTAATCTTTCCCATCATCTTAATAATTGGGTTGAAGTATTAATAAGTTATCAGTCTGACAGGATGGCCAATGGGCGGGTTGTGACAGCGATCACCAATTCACCATCCCGGTCTTTGTCTATATAATAAAGTACTGCATTAATTCTTAAATTAAAAAACAATAAAGGTTGATTGAGGTTCCTATTTAACAAACTTTGTCTTGTAATTCTTAATCCGTTGATAAGACTTATTATTAAATAAATATAATTTAGTGTAAACTGTTATTTCCGCATCATAAAAAAAATTTATAAGATTGAATTATAAATATGGTATTGTCCATTAGACAATTCAAGTCATATATGAAAAATACCAATTGATTTACATTCAATGTTACTAATTATGTTAATATTTATATTCATCATTTTTAATTATATACTAACATACATATATAAAAGTCTTATATTCTAAATGTACCAAAAAAAAAAAAAAAAACAAAAAAGAATGATAATTTCCTAAAAGATTAATGAAAAATTAATACACATTTATAATCACATGCACACATATATTTTACACTGAAGTTTCCATATGTACTTCTATTGAAATTAGAATCTAATCTAACAAAATATATAATAATTTTTTAATTGAACAATTAATTAATATTATTAACCGTTTCACATGTTAAAAATAAGATGTAAAAAAGCAATTTGATAATGTTTAATAACTTAAAATAGAGCAAATTTAACGTTAAAAGTTCATTAATATTATAAAGATTTTTGTTATTTCAGAATTACTTTAAGAGAATTATTGCTATTATATCATACCTCAAGGGGTCTCTTTTTTGAACCCAAGGTGTTATTAGGATTGTCAGACGAGTCGAGCGGCTCACGAGCCGGCTTGGCTCGACTCGTTTGAAGCTCGTATAGAGCTCGTCTGGAGATCGACTTGACAATTATCGAGTCGACTCGGCTTGAACTCAGTTTATTAACCGAGTCGAGTTCGAACATGGGAGAGCTCGACTCGTGGGCTCGCGAGCCTGGGCTGGCTCGCGTATGCACTATGCACTTATGCAGGGTGCTTTGGTGAGTTTTATAAATCATAAGGTACTAAACTATCATATGGCAGTGAAAATTTTTTAAAAAAAACTGACACTTATCTTGAATCAACCTCTCTGCTTGAACAACGGTCTTCTCCACATTATTTGGCCACTTCCTCACATTTTCTTCAATCTCTTCCACATTTCTTTCAGCAGCATCAGCCTTGCACTCCGCTCTGTCTTTCGCATCCTTTAGCCTATTGTTGATGCGTGATTTTGCACCAACGAAACGCACGTGTGAAATACCCAGAAGTCACACGTGAATGTAATGGATAAAGAGATAGTAAATGCAATGGGGACAGTTTTTAAAGTAGTTCGGATGCTAAGGTAGCAAGTCCTACGTCCACTGATGCTTATATTGATGATAAGGGTCAGGTCGCTATTAGCTGACTGACTTTACAATGATATTACAAGGTATCAAGTGCTCAGAATTCTAAAGAGAGAGAGAGAGTAATTAATCAAGAGTAAAAATGTGCGAATCCCTTTAATGAGAGATGAATTCTCAATTTATAGTCAGATGCCATGAGGCAATGATCACTAAATCTGTAAGTTGGTGGGATTATCCGTGCAAATCCTTCTTTATGTCACATTGCCCACCTTCCAGAGTGATTTACGCAATTTTGATCAGGGATTGGACACGTGGGAGCACCACAACCTCATGACTTGCCTGACGCGCACCCACTATCCTGACAGACGTAGATGGAGGTTGTTCCAATGATCTGACTTTTGTGGGCTAAATGGTCCTGACGTCAGCCCTTGTATTTTTAGGCATAATAGAAGCCCCCTAATTTTTAAGGTTTGAGGATTGAACCTTAGAAACTACAGGTCGTGCCACAACGGGATGATTTCTGGAAATTTTAGTCCGCTTGAAAGTAGGTCAGAGTAGCATTTTTATGAGCGCGACCTCACATACTCAAGGACGAGCGACCTGGTTTCATCTGACGTCACCCGTTTATTCTGGTGATAGGAAGGCATTTAATGAAGCAATCCCTGTGCTGACAGGTGTGTCCCTTGCGTGGTAAATGCCAGCCAATCACATTTAATGCCTTGCATGCTGAAACAATGCGCTTTATCAGAACATTAAATGCATTATGCGTTGGAACAGCGCACCTTATCAGAGCATTAAATGAAGATTTGAGATGCAATTAATGCTCTGAGAGTAGTATGGCCGTCGTTTGAGCTTTTCAACTGGAAAGATGAAAGTTTGACTTTATCCAGTCGTTTCGTTCACCCTTCCCCGCTGATGAGTGACACGTGGCCAAGATCAACGGTAAGAAGCCTTTATCGCTCAAACGTCATTTCGATTCCGGGGAATCCAAACGCCGATTCATGCGTTATAAAAACCTCAAATCGTTCTCAGGCAATATCACCAGAGCCTTCTTCACAGAGAACAAAAGATTTCCACAGGCCAGGAACCTTTGTTTTCCAAACCTGCATTTTTCCGGCATTTGAAGTAGAAATCGTCGTCGTACTCTGAGAGGTAAGAGTTTCCTTGCCATTATTTCATTTTTTCCATGAGTTAATGGCGTCGGTCTTCCGGTAACCCATCAGAGACTAGTCGTTTGTGCCGGGTTCGAGCCGCGAATGGCGGCTCAAATCATGTTACTAGGGTTTTTCTTTAGGATTTAGGGAGTTATTTCCTCCCACGTCATCGTTCGATATAGCGTACGGAGGCCAAATAACCCCTCTACTTGTTGCTTTTGCAGACTGGCAAAATGGACCCCTCGGCTACCAAACCTGAGTAGGGAACCAGCTTGTCCCCGCATGGTGCTCCTAGCATCCCTCTCGAGGTTTTCTCGATACTCACCGAGGAAGAACTCGAGAGGGTAATAAGCCAATTCGGCATCGAGGTGGACGTTTTCCACGACCTGACACACTCGTCGCGATACCCAGCAAGCGGCCTGGCCGCGATCTCCGAGGAGATTATCAACGGTGGAGGACTTATCCCCCTGCACCCTTTCATCAGGTCGTTTTTGGACCACTTCAGGGTCGCACCGATGCAGCTGACCCCGAATGCGTACGTCATTGCTGTTGCAATGTACATCGTGTGTCAGGAAAACGGGCTGGGCGAGCTGACCGCCTTAGAGCTCGGCTGCTCGTATTATCTAAAAAAGAGCAAGGACAAGGATTCGTATTACTTGTCCAGGCGACCTACTATTGCCGACGGGATACATAGTTATCCCAGTAACGCGGGGGCCTACAAAACGAAGTTTTTCTTCTTTCGTTACGATGGCCATTGCCGCTTCCAAGATTCGAGTAGGCTTCTTTCTCTTTGTTTGTATTTCTGCTTTACTTTGGCAAACTTATTGCGTTCGAAGTGTGTTCGCTCTTATGACCTGGTTTTTTCTTCTTGACAGTTAACAAGACGACCAAAATAGGGCTGCTCCACGACAGGAGAAGAATTGTGCAATTCAGCTCCCTACCTGAGGACAAGCGCGACGCGAGGACACTTGTGATGACCCCGAACTTGCGAAAATACAGTTTCTTTAACGCAAGCGCGTTGTTAGAGCCTCCACCATGTAAGTTTTGCTAGCTAATTCTTTTCCTGGTCGTGGAATAGAGTGCCTTATTAACCTTGTCTTGGATGCAGCAACCATGCCGCCGAAGGAACCAGAGCAGCTCGACGAAGGCCTATCAATTTCCTCGGTCGAAGAAAGCTAAGGCGGCCGAAGCTGCTCGAACAATCCCCCCGACTGAGGGCGTGACCCCGAGCCAAACGGCGCTACCTTCCAGAACTTCTCAACCGCAGCCAGCAGAAGATGCAACAACGGGAACCACGAAGGTTTCCCAGCCGTCGC